CCCCGGAGGCGCGCACCCTTCACCTCGCTCCAGAGGGCGCCCCGGAGGCCCGCACCCTTCGTCACACTCCAGAGGGCGCCCCGGAGGCGCGCACCCTTCGTCACACTCCAAAGGGCGCCCCGGAGGCGCGCACCCTTCACCTCGCTCCAGAGGGCGCCCCGGAGGCGCGCACCCTTCGTCACACTCCAGAGGGCGCCCCGAGGCCCGCACCCCCCCCTCCAGAGGCGCCCCGGCCCCCCCCCCCCCCCCCCCCCCCCCCTCCAGGGCGCCCGGAGGCCGCACCCTTCACCCTCCAGAGGGCGCCCCGGAGGCGCGCACCCTTCACCGCGCTCCAGAGGGCGCCCCGGAGGCCCGCACCCTTCGTCACACTCCAGAGGGCGCCCCGGAGGCCCGCACCCTTCGTCACACTCCAGAGGGCGCCCCGGAGGCCCGCACCCTTCCACCCGCCCCGAGGCGCCTCCAGAGGGCGCCCCGGAGGCCCGCACCCTTCACCGCGCTCCAGAGGGCGCCCCGGAGGCGCGCACCCTTCACCGCGCTCCAGAGGGCGCCCCGGAGGCCCGCACCCTTCACCGCGCTCCAGAGGGCGCCCCGGAGGCCCGCACCCTTCACCGCGCTCCAGAGGGCGCCCCGGAGGCCCGCACCCTTCGTCACACTCCAGAGGGCGCCCCGGAGGCCCGCACCCTTCGTCACACTCCAGAGGGCGCCCCGGAGGCCCGCACCCTTCGTCACACTCCAGAGGGCGCCCCGGAGGCCCGCACCCTTCACCGCGCTCCAGAGGGCGCCCCGGAGGCGCGCACCCTTCACCTCGCTCCAGAGGGCGCCCCGGAGGCGCGCACCCTTCGTCACACTCCAGAGGGCGCCCCGGAGGCCCGCACCCTTCGTCACACTCCAGAGGGCGCCCCGGAGGCCCGCACCCTTCACCGCACTCCAGAGGGCGGACATGCTCTACCACCTGAGAGAGGGGAAAACAACCGCATTATTTCAACAAATATCAAACCAAAAAACAAAGAGGGATTGAAAGAGACTTGAAAGAACCTATAAACCAAAGGCAATGTGTAGATTTGAACTCTGATTCTAACAAATCAACTGGAAGAAAAATTCTAAGACAATCAGGATAATTTAATTCCTGACTAGACATGTGATGATAAGGAACTAATGTCAATTTTAAGATGTAATAATGGTATTGTAGTTTTGTTTTTTTAAAATGCATTGTATAGCAAGGAAGGGTCTATATATGTAACAATTCTCCGATTTCTCACTGAAAGTATTTAAATAAAGAATTGGGCCGGTCACAGTGGCTCACGCCTATAATCCCAACATTTTGGGAGGCCAACACAGGCAGACTCCTTGAGTTCAGGAGTTTAAGACCAGCCTAGGCAACATGGTGAAATGCCGTCTCTACTGAAAATACAAAAAATTAGCCAGGCGTGGTGGCACACACCTGTGGTCCCAGCTACTCAGGAGGCTGAGGTGGGAGGATCACCTGAGCCTGGGAGTTTGAGACTACAGTGAGCCAAGACTGCACCACTGCACTCCAGCCTGTGTGACAGAGTGAGACCCCATCTCAAAAAAAAGAAAAGAAAACATAAATAGTATTAATAAATTGATTTAAAAGCCACAGTATTCTTAACAAAACGTCAGGTTTACAAGCAGTATCATTTTAAAATCACACTGCATGTATACCTTGAATTCAGAAATGTGAATGCTTTGGATCTCATTATCTGAGACTGAGAGGGCTCTGCAAATTACACCACACAGTGGATTCACAGTGTTTTCAAACGCTGCAGACAGAGCCACTCGTAACTTGGAGACATGACTACAGCAGTAGTCAGAGGCCATGCAACAGTTTTCAAAGTGGGGTCCAAAGAACCCTTTCCAGAGAGGGAGAGAAGAACTGAGATGCGTTAAAAGAAAAAAATCATTATTTAAAAAATTCTCATAATTTATCTTGGGCCTACATGGAAACATAAGAAATAAGTACACTTTGTTGGGGTTTGCAGTAATATATATTTTTTAATTTTGAAAACTTTTCTAATTTTTAAATTTTATCTAAGCTATTTTAGATAATTTTATTAGATATACATTTTTATGTATATATACAGCATATATTTTACTTACATATTTTAATACATATTTTAGATTATTTTGTAATTTTACAATATTCTATTTGAAAAGTAACATTTATTTATAATGTATTTTCTTGTATTTAAGAATGGATCATTGGCTTTAATAAGGATTAAAAGATTCAGTTTCTCATCCTACAGATGTTTCATCAAGAAAAGATGAAACTGGCCGGGTGTGGTGGCTCCTGCCTGTAATCCCAGCACTTTGCGAGGCCGAGGTGGGTGGATCACCTGAGGTCAGGAGTTCGAGACCAGCCTGACCAACATGGAGAACCCTGTCTCTATAAAAATACAAAATAAGCCAGGCGTGGTGGTGCATGCCTGTAATCCCAGCTACTCGAGAGGCTGCGGCAGGAGAATTGCTTGAACCTGGAAGGCAGAGGTTGTGGTGAGCTGAGATTGTGCCACCGTACTCCAGCCTGGGCAACGAGAGTGAAACTCTGTCTCCAAAAAAAAAAAAAAAAAAGAAAGAAATCAAAGGAAAGAAAAGATGAAACTGGAAACTGACACATCAGAGAATTCTCTGACTCATGAGATGGAGACATCTGCTCCAAAGAAAGTGGGCTAAACTGTAAATAAAGACAAAAAATGTGAGGAAAGTTATTTTTCCCTTGCCTTTGCAGATGTTAATGATTTACCTTATTGTGTCTTATGCAACAATATTTCAAATATTATTATGGTGCAAGTTAACTGCCACATCGATTTGAGACCAATCATTCAGAATCTAAAGAAAAAAAATTAAATGCAGATGTGATAAATTAATATGTCACCAACAGAACTGTACTTCTGCCTTACAATAGAATCTCTGGACTTACTGTATTCCTTGTAGTTGTCTGGTATCAGCACCAGCTAAGCACAGAAGCTCTTTTATATGAAAGTTGGCCGCACACACAGTGGTAGGGAAATACTTAAATTACTGAATAACTATTTTGAATCTCCCCGTTTTTCCTGGAACAACCGTGTTGACGTTTGCACTGATAGCGCAAAAGCAACGGTGGGTAACACAGCTGCGTCTCAGTGGGAATCAGAGCAGAGACAGTCCTCACGCTACTCTTCACCACCACACACACACAGTAGAAACACTGCACTTTCACATACGAATGTTTGATGAAGCAGTTTATCATACTGATTTTATTAAACTGTTGCCCTCAAGGATACTTTTTAAAAAGAATTCTGTATGGTGAAAAGGAAAGTGTGTATAAAGCACTTCTGCTTCATAATAAAAAACGACGGTTGCCTGGAGAAAAGCACTCCACTTGTACACCTGCACAACTCTTTCAGCGGTAAACTCACCTGACCACTTTTTGTCATGCAAATTGACTTGAAAGAATGACTAGCAGACAGGCAGTGGTTAGTCACATTATGGGATTAGACACATACTTTCTCAATAATTTGCAAAGTGACTCAGTCCCCTCAGGAAAACGACTGATAGTGTTTGTAGCCCATGATAAATTTTAGCTTTTAAGCAGAAATTAGAATCTTGGAAAATCTATGTCCACCAACATAAGCTTGACAGCTTCCCAATACTTAAAGTCGTTTCTGATGAGGTGGCAGTAATGACTATAGGTTTTGATATTGCATAATGAAATATGTCAATGTTTGGAAGATATACATAACTCAATTAATGAAGATTTTCCAAATGAACCATGCAGAATGCTGCAAAATTATGTGTGTAGGCAAAAAAGATCCATTGAAAGTGCAAGACAGACCAATGGGTTTTAATGTAACAGAGTATGGAAAGTTAACTAATACAATTTCAGATTCCACACTGCAACTACCCTTTAAAAAAATGACCATTTTCAAATTTTGGTGAGCTATCAAAGCAGAATTATCTACAATGATCTGCGATGGCTATTAGAATATTCCCGCCTTTCCCAACTACTATCTATGTGGGACTGGATTTTCTTTATACACTTCAACCAAAACAACACATCCCACCAGAAGCAGATATGAGAATTCAGCAGCCTTAGGGCAGAAAATGAGACTTGCAAAAATGTAAAAACAATGCTGCTCCTGTCAAAATTTTTTTTTTTTTGCCTTGGAAAAGAGCATTGTCTTTCATGAAAATATGCTATTTGTGTTAATGTGTAATGAAATTATTTTTATTTTTTAAGTGAAGAAACACATTTTTAAAAATTTAGTTTCAAATATGATAAATATTAATAAGTGTTTAACAGATTAAAAAAAAAACTCTTGGGAATGTATGAACACAAAGAAGGAACAACAGATGTGGGGGCCTTCCTGAGAAAGGGTAGGAGGAAGGAGAGGAGCAGAAAAGGTAACTATTGGGTACTGGGCTTAATACCTGGGTGATGAAATAATATGTACAACAAACTCTATGACATGTGTTTACATATGTAACAAACCTTCACATGTACCCCCAAACCTAAAATAAAAGTTTAAAAAAAATGCTTTGGGGTCCTCAGTAATTTTTTTTTTTTTTTTTTTGAGATGGAGTCTCGCTCTGTTGCCCGGGTTGGAGTGCAGTGGCGCGACCTTAGCTCACTGCAACCTCCGCCTCACAGGCTGAAGTGATCCTTCTGACTCAGCCCCCCTAGTAGCTGGGATTACAGACACACGCCACCACACTTGGCTAATTTTTGTATTTTTAGTAGAGATGGGATTTCGCCATGTTGGCCAGGCTGGTCTCAAACTCCCGACCTCAAGTGATCCACCCACCTTGGCCTCCCAAAGTGCTGGGATTACAGGTGTGAGCCACCATACCTGGCTGGGATACTCAGTAATTTTTAAGAGTATAAAGGGGTACTGAGACAAAAACGTTTGGACCCTGCTGTCGTATAGTCTTTCCAACACACCACAGCCTTCTAAGAAAAGGAAAAATGACACAGGATGACAGGAGACATGAACACCACTTACAGCAAAATGGCCTCGTTTACAGCCTCAAAGAACTCTGGCTGGAGGATTTCCTGAGGTTCATGTCCGTGACAGACGAGCAAAGCCTCCACCAGGGGGTCAACATCTGGCAGGGTAATAAGTGGGACACAGACTCGTGATAGGGACGCCAATCGCTCAGGAGTCATTCTATGGAAGAAATAAGAAATAATCACCCAAATCTAAGAGCCACGCATAATTAAGGACATATAAAACCTTCATGCTAAAAAGGTCAACGACAGATCACCTGTTTTGCCTCTAAATAAAGAGAATGACTCTAACACCATCGATGAACACTTCTCTTTTATCCAATTCTTTAGGAAGACATCTTTTAGCTGCCAATGCTGTTTCAGTGTCATTCATGGTCAGAACTTTGTTCTTTATATCCACAGGCACTTAATATGTCCAAAACACAACTCCTAAAATCCCTTCCCGGTGTTCCCTTTCCCCAGTGCCATCTCGTTTGCTCAGGCTCAAATGCTGATTCCTGCCTTTCTCTCAGGCCCCTCAACTGATGCATCAGTGAATACCAGCAACACGTCCGACCTCTTCTGAACGCCTCCATCACTGCCCTCCTACGTGGACAGTAACCCACCACCTCCAGCCTCTGGACTTCTTGCTTCTGCACTCACTCCTGTAGTTTAACATCAGAACACTTCCAGCACCCCTTTAAAAATTCAGATCACAACACTTGTCTGCTCAAAGCTTTGCAATGGCTTCCCACCTCATGCAGAGAATAAGCAATGTCTTTCACTAGCCAGCAAGTCCTTCCGTGGTGGGTCCCCGTCTGTTTCACTGACTTCATCTCCTTCCACTCTTACCTTTGTCTTTTCTGCCTCTGACTGCCCCAAGTAAGGTCCTGCGGTCCCCAGTTGCAGCTCAAATGCCCGTTTGTTAAGTGAGGTCTTCTCTGATCATCCCATGTCACTATACTGTCTACCATGTGTGGCAATTTAAATGTAAATGAATTAAAATGAAATTAAAAATCCAGCTCAACTGCACTAGTCACAGCTGAAGTGCTCAACAGCTATGGGCGGCTGGCGGCTACAGTTCCGAACAGCACACACGTACAGGATGTGCCTGGGACCATGTACAGGATACGCCTGGGACCACACAAAGCACCGCTGGACACTGGAGCTTCACGCGCCCTCCTACCCGTGCTTTACTTCTCTTCCTGGTACCTTTCACCATCTGACCTATACGGTATTCCCTTGTAGTACTCATGGTTCGCTTCCTCCTGAGAGGGCAGAAGCTCTATGATGGCAGGCAGCTTCTCCTACTTTGCCCACCACTCTATTCCTAGCACCTAGGGACAACTCCTCACACACAGCACATGCTCAACAAATCCATCTCCAGTGCAGTGAACAATAAATAAAATGAAAGTTCTGGGTGGACCCTATTCAACGTTTTTCTAGGTATTTTCATATGTAATTGTAAATACAGAAATTTAGTCTTGTGTTTTGTGAAACACAAATGGCACCACAGTGTAGAGCATATAGCTGTCCCTCATTCTTAAAAACTTGCTGCCTATTATTAAAACACACATGTTCTGTAATTTAACAATGCCACTATCAGTAGGCACTGAGGCTGTTTCTGGTTTTTCACTATTCAAACAGGGCTGTGGCGCCACCCTTGCCCATGCCTGTCTGTGCCCACGTGTGAGAACTTGCATATTAAATTGCCTTCCAAGGCCAGGGGCGGTAGCTCACACATGAAGTCCCAGCACTTTGAGAGGCTGAGGCAGGCAGATCGCTTGATCCCAGAAGTTCAAGACCAGCCTGGGTCACATGGAAAAACCCCATCTCTACAAAAAATACAAAAACTAGCTGGGTGTGGTGGTGCGTGCCTGCAGCTGCAGCTACTCGGGGGACTGAGGTGGGAGGTTGCTCGAGCCCAAGAGGTCAAGGCTGCAGTGAGCTGTGTTCACACACTGCACTCCAGCCTGGGAGACAGAGCGAGACCCTGTCTCAAAAAAAAAAAACAAAAAACAAAAAACACACACACACAGACACACACACAAAAATGCCTTGCAAAAGACCAATTTACTTTTCCACCCCTTCCAATGATATCATTTTTTGTTTCTATTTCTCAAAAATGTAACGAACAAAAATTGCTATTTCATTGCCTTAATTTGCATTTTCCTGATAACTTGTGAGACAGTAATTGTTACCCACTTGTATTTACTCTTCAGAGAATTTTATGTATTTGTGTATCATTGTCCTATTTGTTCATTTAATACCTATTTATTGATCCCCTATTGTAGTCAAGGCTCTGTTTGAGGTGTACGTGATACAGATGCAAAGATGACAAGGTCTCATCAGGGACAGGAGCAATATAATGCCAGATGATACTGAGTATCATGCTGAAAAGAATACTCAGAAGTGACAGAAATTTACCAAGAAGGTGACATGTGAGCAGTGCTCTGAAGGAAGTACATGAACAAGCCACATATGTATCTGGGAGGAAAACACTGCAGACAGATGAAAAGCAAATGCAAAGGCCCTCAGCATCTGAAAACAGCGACAGGGGACCCACGTGGTCACACCCAGTGAAAACAGCGAGGGGACCCACGTGGTCACACCCAGTGAAAACAGCGAGGGGACCCACGTGGTCACACCCGGTGAAAACAGCGAGGGGACCCACGTGGTCACACCCGGTGAAAACAGCGAGGGGACCCACGTGGTCACACCCGGTGAAAACAGCGAGGGGACCCACGTGGTCACACCCGGTGAAAACAGCGAGGGGACCCACGTGGTCACACCCGGTGAAAACAGCGAGGGGACCCACGTGGTCACACCCGGTGAACCAGGGAGGATGGCGGAAAGGCTTCTGTAGATCACTGTAGGGGGCCTGCATATTCTTTTTTAAAAAACTTTTTTCATTTTTATGAAATTAATAAATGCAACTATATTTTTTAAATTTAGAATATGCATTTACTTTTAAATTTTTATTTCAATAGCTTGTGGGTAAAAGTAGTTTTCTGTTACATGGATGAATTGTATAGTGGTGAATTCTGAGTTTTTTTTTTTTTTTTTTTTTGAGACGGAGTCTCGCTCTGTCTCCCAGGCTGGAGTGAGTGGCTCAATCTCGGCTCACTGCAAGCTCCGCCTCCCGGGTTCTCGCCGTTCTCCTGCCTCAGCCTCCCGAGTAGCTGGGACTACAGGCACCGCCACCACGCCTGGGTAATTTTTTTGTATTTTTAGTAGAGACGGGGTTTCACCGTGTTAACCAGGATGGTCTCGATCTCCTGACCTGTGATCCGCCCATCTCGACCTCCCAAAGTGCTGGGATTACAGGCTTGAGCCACCGCGCCCGGCCGAATTCTGAGATCTTAATGTGCCCTCGCCCGAGTAGATTGCACCTAATGTGTAGTTTTTTATCACTAGCCCCCATCCCACCCTCTTCCCGCTTCTGACTCTCTGAAGTCCATTATGTCACTCTGTATGCCAGCAATGTCCAATCTTTTTGGCTTCCTTCTTTTTGGAAAAATAATTGTCTTGGGTTACACACTAAATACACTAATACCAACGATAATTGATGCGCTTAAAAAAAATCGCAAAAAACCTCAATGCTTTAAGGAAGTTTACAGATTTGTTTTGGGCAGCATTCAAAGCTGTCCTGGGCCGCATGCAGCCACGGGCCATGGGTTCGACAAGCTTGCTGTGTGTCTCTGTGTACTCATAGCTTAGCCCGCACTAATAAGTGAGAACAGTTTGTGATTTTCCACTCCTGTGTTACTTCACTTAAAATAATGGCCTCCAGCTCCATTCAAGCTGCAGCAAATGATATTATTTTGTTCCTCTGAATGGCTGAGTAGTGTATATATATACCACATTTTCTTTCTCCACTGATTGCTGGATGGGCACTTATGTTGGTTCCACATCTTTGCAATTGTGAACTGTGCTGCTGTAAAACTACATACGCAAATGTTTTCATTTTTTTCTAGAAAGACACCTTTTCCTTTGGGTAGATAACCAGTAGTGTAATTGTTGGATCAAGCAGTAGATCTGCTTTCAGCTTTGTAAGGAATCTCCACACTGCTTTCCACAGAGTTCGCACCAATTTACATTCCCACCAGCAGGTATGTGTTCTCTTTTCCCCACATCCACGCCAACATCTATTATTTTTTGACTTTAAACATGGCCATTCTTGCGGGAGTCAGGTGGTGTCTCATTGTGGTTTTAATTTGCATTTCCCTGATGATTCGTGATGTCCAGCATTTTTTCACATGCTTGGCCATCTGTACATCTTTTGAGAAATGTCTATCATGTCCTTTGCCCACTGTTTGATGGGATTGCTTTTTTCTTGCTGATTTGAGTTCCTTGTAGATTCTGAATACTAGTCCTTTGTCAGATGCATAGTTTGCAAATATTTTCTCCCACTCTGTTGGCTGTTTACTCTGCTGATTATTTCTTTGATGTAACTGCTTTAAATGGTCAAATAGTTATTCAAAGCTAATGAAAATAGCAGCTTTTGAAAGGGCATTCCTATCCCCATTTTCTGATATCCAGAAATAACTACTTTCAACCCTAATTAATTCTTTAGTACTTCAGTGTGTTGTCTGTTGTTCAATACAAATTGTAACATCAAATTTGTAGTGGGAGGGCTGGGTGTGGTGGCTCATACCTGTAATCCTAGCACTTTGGGAAGCCGAGGAGGGCAGATCACCTGAGGTCAGGAGTTCGAGACCAGCCTGACCAATATGGTGAAACCCCACCTCTACTAAAAATACAAAAATTATCCAGGCAGGGTGGTGGGCGCCTATAGTCCCAGCTACTCAGGAGGCTGAGACAGGAGAATTGCTTGAATCCAGGAGGCGGAGGTTTCAGTGAGCCGAGATCACACCACTGCACTCCAGCCTGGGCAACAGAGCAAGACTCTGTCTCAAAAAAAGAAAAGAAAAGAAAAATTGTAGTGGGAGATCCATCAGATTACGGAGAAAAGAGAAGTCCAGGATGTTTCTGATAGGAACGTAAATAAATAAGCACAAACACTTTGGAGAACAACTGGTAGCAACGTGCTACCATTTCTTCTTACAGGTTAGGGAGACAAACAGAACTGTTTGTAAAAGGTAGATTCGATCTTGCTGTGAATTTGTACAGAAATGAACAAATGATGATTTATTTACAGAATGGAATGCTATATGGCAG